TGAGCACCTGGACTCTGAGTCCAGAGCCAGTGAAAGAAACACACCCTGGATCTAACCTGAGCCAGGGAAAGAAACATCTTTATTCCTGAACCCAGGACTAAAGACATGTGCCCTGACTCTGAAACCAGTGCCAAAGAAACACACTTTGTCTCTAGAATCAGATCCAGTAAAAGAAATATGCCCTGGTCCTAAGATTAGAGTCAAAAGGCTAAAAAGAACCAGTGATAGAAATACAGTTTGGCCATGAAATCAGAGCCATCTGTGCTCCTGAGTAGGGAAAACTAACCAATCCCTGAGCAGGGAAAACTAACCAATCCCTGAGCAGGGAAAACTAACCAATCCCTGAGCAGGGAAAACTAACCAATCCCTCTTCTCCCTGGGAAAACCCTGCCCCTAAGAAGCCTTATATACGCTTCTCTGCTGGTTGAGTTAGAGGCCACCTTTTATCCCTCCCTGGCAGAGGCAGTCACTCTCCTGGACTTCTCTTTCCCAAATAAATCTCTCTCTCAAAAGAGTATTGGGTGGCAATCTTCATTCACTGGTAAAGAACAGAAGAACCTGGCTGGGACGTCCCTCGGGGGCCAGAACAAAGCAGAGACCAGAACTTTGCTGGGAGCTCCATGAGCGCTGAGCAAGGCCGGGCAGGAGATCGCTACATTTCTGCACTGAGCAAAGCGGGCCAGGAGACCGCTACATTTCTGCACTGAGCAAAGCGGGGCAGGAGACCGCTACATTTCTGCATGGGCTTCCCCTTTAGCAGAGTGTTAGCAAAAGAAGTCATGTCTTGGGCTGGAGAAGAAGCTGATAGCTCTGCTCGGATGTTCCCTTAAGGGCACAGCTGTAGTGGCTCTCCAGAAGAGCAGGATTGCTATATCCTACCAGGAGACCACATCTAACCGCACCCCAGATTCAGGAAGCCTGGCTTCCCAATAAAGTCAGGACACCTTTCCTGGAGGGCTGAGCTGTCCCATTGCAGCTCCAGCTTCCAGAGCTGTCCTACTATGGATCTACCCCTCCAGAGCTGTCCTACTGTGACTCTACCCCTCCAGGGCTGTCCTATTGTGGCTCCGCCCCTCCAGAGCTGTCCTATTGTGGCTCCGCCCCTCCAGAGCTGTCCTATTGTGGCTCTGCCCCTCCAGAGCTGTCCTATTGTGGCTCCGCCCCTCCAGAGCTGTCCTATTGTGGCTCCGCCCCTCCAGAGCTGTCCTATTGTGGCTCCGCCCCTCCAGAGCTGTCCTACTGGGGCTCTCAGCACAGCCTGGGGTCCCAGGATATCTTTGCAGCTCCACAATTGTAGCACATTCCCCTACACAGCCTGTCTCAAAAAACAAAACAAAGCAAACAACAACCAAACTATACAACTGCCATGCATAACTTTTAGTGGGAATATACGCAGTGGTCGGTGCTGTAAAGATCCCACCCTTGAAAATAACTGGAGAAGGAAACTGAGCAGAGGTTGTTGCCGTGCAGGGAAAATTTAACTCAGCTCTGTTTCAGAAATTCTTTAAAATAACCCTGTTTGAGATGTGTGTTTGGAAAGAAACAAAAACTTTACAAGTTATCTGTTTCCTAAATTAACATGTAACCATTACACAGAATGAAGTCAGAGCAAACACAGGGCGGGTGTCCATGCAGAGTTTCCCACCATTTTCATGAATGGAAAATCTGAAGAACCAGGTTATTTTATGAGTCAGTGTTAAGCAAGACCATCCCAGAGAAAAGCAAAAGGGAAAGCCCAGTGCACCTTGTATTTGGCTTGGTCCACAGCCATTCCTCTTTTCTCCACTGGGTACTTCTGGAGGGGCAGAGCTGGGGAAGAAAGAAGGGATCATGAGAGCCTAAGCCTTTTAATAAAAGGTCACCCTGGATGCATACCTGTCACCCAGGGAGAAGAAATCTAGGCTGTCGTGATATTCCTAGAGTCAGAAAAGGAACGAAGCCTATGTTGTCCGAGGCTGGAATTGGTCCTTAGCTCACTGGGGTCTCAGAACAGAAGATTGGAGCCAGTTGGTCAGTCAGAGGCATCCCACACCTACAAACCACGGCTGCAGTCACTCACCCACCACGGGGATCCCATATATCCTCACACCCACACCTAACCCAAACAACAGCCTGCAACATATGGTCGAAGCCACAGGAACACGTCTACCCTGAGAATACAGCCACATCCACACGGTTACAGAACCCTAAAATACAACACAGAAAACCACGGTGCTACAAATGGTCACAACACACTCACTGCGGGATCACACAATAGTGACAATCCCCTCCAGTTCCCCTCATGAGAATTATACAAAATCACACACAATTAGCAGAACACAACAGCCTCATGAGAGAGACACAGTCAGCCTGGCAACGGGACTCATCTTCCAACTCACTATATCACGTAAAGTTACATAATCACACTCAAACATATGCAGTCACACACACACACACACACACACACACACACACATCTCCCCCTCAAGTTAACAGTCTTGCGAGCGTAATTACTAACTCTCTGATAGATCCCTCATAAACAAATTATGCCGTTACACACCATCAGTCCAAACACACGGGGACGCAATCACACACACTTATACACACGGTCGTACAGTTATCAATCACACACGGCTCTGAGAATGCTCACTGAGAAACTTAAAAATCACACCCGCGCACTCGTGGCGCCCTAAGGTCACTTCAGGTCACACTCACGCACAGCCAAGAGCTCGCTACTGTTCACCCAGCTAGACTAACTCCCACCGGCCTGACAGCTCGGATACCAACTGGTATTTCCCTTCAGAACCCATGGTCGCACCTGCGGAGCCTCACAAGGGTCTAGGCCGCTCCCCGCGCACTTTCCCGTCCCCGGACAACGAGGGTCCCGCAGGCAAAAGAAGGGGCTGCTTTGAGTGCGCGGAAGTTTCTGGGAAATGTAGTCCGCGGTGGGACCTGGCGGGGAAAATGGCGCCCGCTCTCGGATTCCCGCCAGGGCACCGCCTGAGGCAGGTTGAGAGGCTCGCTCCGCACGTGCAATTGCGTGCCCAAGTTTCCTAAACACAGGCACAAGGTGGGACCGAAACTCTCACAACACGCAGGGCTGACATCCTGGACACAAGCCCCCTCCATGGTAAGGGGCCGACCTCGGGAAACCACTGCTTTCTGAGTAAGTGGAGGCCAGGTTGGCGCCGGAAGTTGTGTGTCGTCGCACGTGTTTCTGGGAAATGTAGTCTAGGGACTAGTGCGTGGCACTAATCTCCTGGAACAAAGTTGCTTCAGTGATTTCTGAAAGACCACACCCAGTGTTGGGACGCTTGTGGGCGTTAGAACTCACTGAAGGAAGAATGTTTAGGATGTCGATAGGTCTCCCGTTTTGCCTCCCTCAGTATAGAGTTTATATGACTCATTTAGGTTGCATATAAAAAAAAGACAATAAATATTAGTTATTAAAAACTGCCAGATTTAGGAAGAATTGTGAATGAATGATTGCTCCTGAGTAGGCATGGGATTCTTTTACAGTTTAGTTTCTTTTTTTTTTAAAAGTTTTTTCCTATTCAAATTTATTTGTTTGTTTGTTTAGAGTCTGGGTATCTCTCCAGGATTGGAACTCACTATGTTGGCTGGATTTGCAGTTCATCTTATCCGTCTTTCCCTGTCTCAGATGTTTGGACTAAGGGTTAGCTTCACCCTGCAGTGAAAAAAATGTTTTGTTTGTTTTTGTTTTTCGAGACAGGTTTTCTCTCTGTAGCAGCCCAGGCTGTCCTGGAGCTAGCTCCGTAGTCCAGGCTGGCCTCCAACTCACAGAAGTCCACCTGCCTCTGCCTCCAAGCGCTGGGATTAAGGGCTTGTGTCACCACTATCCCGCGAAAATATTCTTAAATTAGGAAATAGTGATGTGTGCGCAACTCTGAAACAGTAAAACAATTAGGTTGTGTGTAGCAAAAGCGGCTACGGGGAACTGAACCCGGGAACTCGTGCGTGTGGCATGAGCCTTCTGATGCCTTATTAGTCATAGTTATGTTGGATTTTTTAAAAAAAATCAAGTCCACTGAGGTACAATTTCGCTACAACAAAAGACACCAGTCGTATGGGTTTATTGTAAAACACACCTTTAAAAGGCTTCTTTCCCGCAGTAGGTGGCTGTGGAGGCCAGGCGAGAGCATCAGATCTTCGGGAACTGGATTTACAAAGGGTTGTGAGCAACCATGTAGGTGGTGGGACCTGACTTTATGTCCTCTGCGAGAAGAGAAAGTACTCTTCGTCACGGGCCCCCTCTCCGGCCAGGAATGCACTAACTTAACAGTGAGCTGTTTGACGAGACTCAACATGAATATATAGCACCGGCATCATATTTACGACCTAGACCTTGTTTGCTTGTTTTTTGTTTCTGTGTGGCCCTGGCTGTCTGGAACTTGCTCATGTCCGCTAGCCAATTCAGAAGAGTTTTTTGGTTCAGAGGCGGGGTTTATATTGGGGATGGACTGATACTGAGAGAAGAGGCGGAGCGTGAAGTCTGCAGCCTTTTTGAGCTGTAAATGAGCAATGGCAGGGGTTGGTGGTGGCTTGCGATTCGGCTCAGGTTCCCCTTTTGTTCTTTAACATTTTTACGTGGGATTTTAATAAACCATAAAGAAATGCCTAACACCTGTGGATCAGGTTGGTCCTGAGCTCACAGAGATCCACCTGCCTCTGCCTCCTGAGTGCTGGGATTAAAGGCGTGCGCCACCACCACCTGACTCTGCCTGGATTATTTTTATACATCAAGCCCCACCCTGGTTTTCTGTGGGCATCCACAGAATAAGTGAGGTATTCTTCATGAAGAGTTCCTTACAAATGAAACACAAGTTGCTGGGCGGTGGTGGCACACCTTTAATCCCAGCACATGGAAACTGAGGCAGGCTGATCTCTGTGAGATAGTGGCCAGCCTGGTCCACACAGTGAGTTTGGAGTTCCAGAACATCCAGAGCTATATAGGGAGATCCAGTCTCCAATACGTAAATGGAATTACATAGTAGGTATACTTTTTTACTTTGGTTTTGGCAAGGTGTTTATGGGACTCAAATATACTCTTTTCTTCTTAAGCATTTCTTTTCTTTGCTGAATGATATCCCGTTTATGAATTCTGTGTCTGAGCTTGCATGTCCAGTCACTGATGGATATTTCCCTCCTCTCCAGATTAGCTGATTTGAATAAAGCAGACATCTGCTTGCAGTTCTTTCTATAAGCATGTGCGTCCACTTAACTTAGGAGATATGTGGTAGTAGAGTCAGTGAATCTTATAAGCAAATATTGAATTTTGTAAGGAACTACCAGACTGTTTTACAAAGTGGTCATACTATTTAATTTCACCAGCAATGTAAGAAAGTTTTATTTGTTCCATTACCATTAAAACTATTGTCAGCCTTTTTTTTTTTTTTAAAGATTTGGTGTGTGTGGTGTGTGTGTGTGTGTGTGTGTGTGTGTGTGTGTGAATTCATATATTACTGCAGTGCCTGCACAGGCCAAAAGGGGGAGCCAGATCACCTAGAATTTATAGAAAGATTTGTGAGCTGCCTGTCATGGCAAAACCTGTCTAAGTATTTGAGGCTTGAGCCACCACCTCGGCCTCTCTGGTTAGTCTTTGAGTTTACTTACCTATTTAGAGAGCCATGGTATTGCATTAAGGCTTCCTTTACACAGAAAGGACATTGCTATCTACCAATTACTTTTGAATTTTGGTGCTTTTAGTCACATGGTGGCCATCTTAAGTTCTTTCTTTCCTCCTCCCCCATCCCCCTACCTTCTATGTATACCTCAGCCTGGCCTGGTGCCCCATCCTCCGAAGTCCTGAGACTTTAAGTGTGAGCCATCATCCCTGGCATTAAACTACTTAAGGGCTCTAGCTACCCTAGGCCTAGCAAACAGGGCCTGGCAGGCCTTGCCCTTCTCTCCCCACCCCCTTCCCTCTGCCTTGCTAAAAACTGTTAGATTACAGTTCTAAAGCTAGCTACCAAGGTCTGTTCCCTTATTTGACCACTTCCTCCTTCTGAGGCTGACTATATCGAAGTATTAAAGTCCAGGAATCAAAAGCCTCTTTTGGCTCACCTAATTAAGATGCCCAATTAAAAGTAAACACTTCATCCTAACACGAGGTTTCCCCTTTTACCTTTATAAACCTATGTGCCACATCTGCCTCCCCTCTACCCAGAGGCAATCCTTTGTCCCTCTGTGACAAATACCCCTGCCCCTTCCCTTGTGTTCCCTCCCCCCTGTCCTCCCCTCCGTCTCCCTTGTCCTCTATCCTGTGTTTCTCTGAGTCTCTGCTCTCTGTCCCTCTGGGGCAACTGCTACGTTACTGAAGGTGGTTAGATGGAAGATCACAGAAGACTGGACTTCACGCCTGCACTCCACTGCTTCCTTCAGGACACTGCCACTGCTCCCCTCCGTTGTGGTATAGTCCACAGGACTGACCCCAGCTTGTACCCTATTTCCCAATGTCGTTTCTCATTAAAGATTTTAACACTCGCCGGGCGGTGGCGGCGCACGACTTTAATCCCAGCACTTGGGAGGCAGAGGCAGGCGGATCTCTGTGAGTTTGAGACCAGCCTGGTCTACAAGAGCTAGTTCCAGGACAGGGTCCAAAACCACAGAGAAACCCTGTCTCGAAAAAGCAAAAAAAAAAAAAAAAAAATTTTTAACACTCTTCCAGTTGCTTGTGATCCTGATTCTGACGCCTCCCTCGGTTGTTGGGGTTTCTCTCCGGAGCAGATTTCCATCCTGAACTGTCAACCTTTTTCATGAATGATTTTTTTCTATAGAGCGGACTGTACCACCTTGGTTTCTCCCTCATTCCCAGTGGTTTCTCCCTCCAGCCCACTCTTAAACGTTTTTGTCTGTTCGGGATCCCCTGTACCCTCCGGTTTCTTCCAGCAGATGGCGCTTTATTCAGCATGGCAACTAGGATTCTAAATATAACAGAATATAACATGATCCCATGTCGAGTACCTTCTTCCTCTTGGATGATGCACATACAAAGGTCACAGCACTCTATCTACCTGATAATTCTTTAGCTCATTCTGTGAAATCGGCCTGGATTCCTTTGCTGTACGGAATGGGCAAACTTCAAAGATGGCGGCCTACACGAATAAGTGTGGGCGCGGCCATGTTCTCCGGGCCAATTAAGGAATCGTATGCAGAGCCTCTTGAAGCTACACGTGTGTGTGTGTGTGTGTGTGTGTGTGTGTGTGTGTGTGTGTCCGTGCGTGCGAGCACGCCTTGGTTTTCTCTAGCTGCCCAGGTAACGCAGGGCATGCGCACTAATAATAGCCCGGGAGGACATTTTTTGGAAGACCGGAAGTGGCCGTAGTTCCGGAAGGTGGTTTCTGGCCCGCGCTGCCGCTGTTGAGTATTTCTGTTGTGGATTCTGTTAATAACAAGAAGTCTTCGGGAATGATTCCGGTTGGTTTCAGCTAGAATTTGTGGCGTCAGTAGTGTGCGTGGGTGTTAGGCGGTGTTGCCGTGGTGACTGCGGGATGATGGTTGTCCCTGGGAGGATTTCTCCGGTCAATAATGGGAGTTTGGCGGTGGAAGGGTGGGCGGGTAACGGGTGTGAGGGACGAGCGGGACTGTGCTGAGTGACCCGTGAGACCGTGGCGTCTGTTATCTGTTTGCTTTCTAGTCTGAAAGTTTAGCTCATTAATTTATAGCCTTCTTTAATGTAAAGGATTTGCGACCTTTGTTCTGTAGAGTTCTCTTTATTATTGTTCAAATATAATTGGCTTTCTTTTTTAAATTTGTTTTCTTTGATCCAGGAGTCATTTTAAAGTGAATTTCTTGTTTCAAATGTCTCTGGGTAGTGGGTCGAGTTGAAAAATACTTTATGGCCTATGCCATAATCACTTTTCATAAATGTCACATCTATTACATAAAAATAATTCGTTCTTTTAATTAGTTGTATTGTGGTATAATAAGCATATATTTTAATATATCATATGACCATACAGATTTTTTTGTCTGCTTAGTTGTGGGGGATGGTATATATTGCTATAAGTGTATTGTTACCAACACATGTATATTTTTACATAATACATTTACCTATTATTTGAAAATTCTCCATATGTATACATTGTGTTTTGATCTTACCAGCCCTTACTGCCCCCCTCCACTTACGAGTATTTGCGGGGGGGGGGTGTTCGAGATGGGGCTTCTCTGTGTAGCCCTAGCTATTCTAGAGCTCTGTAGACCAGGCTGGCCTTGAACTCACTGAGATCTGCCTGCCTCTGCCTCCTGAGTGCTGGGATTAAAGGCTTGCGCCACTATTTTTAATAATGGGTATGACTAAATAGCTCCGGGGATATTATAGCAATTCAAGTGTCCATCTTCATTTTGTGAAATAACTTAATTTCCCAAATGCCTTTCCTTTTTGCAAGTTTTCTATGGTTTGTCCAATTTTTACCCCTTGGGTTTTTAAAAGCAATTGCTAGATTTTTTTTATTAGAAAGAAGCTATTAGTCTCTTGATAAAAATAATACATACCTTTTTTTAAAAGATTTATTTATTTATTATGTATACAGTATTTTCAGTACTCTGCCTGCAGGCCAGAAGAGGGCACCAGATCTCATTAAAGATGGTTGCTGGGAATTGAACTCAGGACCTTTGGAAGAGTAGGCAGTACTCTTAACCACTCTCCAGCCCAATAATATATATCTTTATTTCAATTTTGTGGCATCTTTTTTCTTTGTCTTTCTTTTTTGGGGGGGAGGTGTTGGACCCAGAACCTCAAGCATGCTAAGCAAATGTTCTACCTCTGAGCTATAGCTTCACACACACACACACACACACACACACACACACACTCATTATGTATGTGTGTGTTAAAGCTATTTGTTTGTGTTCCAGGGCAGCACAGACTTGCCATGTCACAAGTGTGGAAGTCAGAGAACAACCCATGGGAGCTGGTTCTCTCTTTCTACTACATGGTCCCCTGAGGTCAAACTAGAGCCATCAGGCTTGGTGGCAAGTGTCTTTACCATCTGAGTTGTCTTGCTCCCCCTTCCCCATGATGGCATATTTTATCATATGATGTGGTCTGCTCAGAAATGCGTGCCATCTTTTATATCTTCAGTTCATCGTATGTGTGTGATGGATGGAAGCTTCTTCCTCCGTGCATAACTAGATACCGTCTTGGACTTTGCTCCAGATTCTGACACTAGAGCAAGACTGAGTGATAGGTCCGTGGGAATGTCATGGCGCTGTTGAGAGTCTCTAGGAAAGGAATCTCGAGATGTGCTACTATATATAAGAAGTGGAAGGTTAGATTAGTTAAAAGCAGGACTTCGTGATGCAGCTCCCATGAGGTTGTCATCCATGAAGGATGTAGCTGTTTGGGGGTCACCATTGCTCTTTTCAGTAACCCTTCCCCTGTACTGTGTAAGCGAGCCCCGGGGACTCATCGGTCTCACTAGTTTGGACTTAGGTGATTCTGTCTTCGGCTGTTGTTTCTCTAATCTGGGGTGAGCCAGCTGTAGCACGTGCCCATGGCACGGTGGTGCGCAGTGCGGACTCCAGAATACTTGCAATACTTTTGGGGCATCTGAAAGTGCATGTATTTAAATTTTCAGACCTGCCTGAGTTTGTGCTCTGCACAGCGTGCGATGATTTTTTCCGGGTGGCAGCCAGTTAGCAGCGCCAATTCCAGAATCAATGTCTTGAGTACACTTGGTATATGTGTTTTACTTCTTTTGGTTATGTTGTCTTTACATTTTGATGTCTATTTTAAGATGTTTGCCTTTATGTAATGTGTGTTAGTGTGCCTGAGCACATGCCATGGTGTGCGTGGGGGAGGGAGGACAAACTGCACAGGCCATTTCTCTCCTTTCACCATGTGGGTCTTGGGGCTGGAGCTTGGGTTGTCAGGTAGTAGGTTCTTTTTACTCTCTAGGATGTCTCCCGAGGCCCAGATTTTCTAAATTTCCTACTCTCCCAGCACTGTGTACTGAGTTAGTCCCTGTGGTACAACAACCCAGGATCGCTCTGGGGACTAGTTAGACCTGCAGGAGCAAAGCCAGGGGGTGTGCGACTTAACTGTATTTTGACAATTCCTCTAGACCAGTGGTTCTCAGCCTTCTTAACGCTGTGACCTTTAATACAGCTCCTCGTGTTATGGTGACCCCAACCATAAAATTAATTCTGTAGCTGTTTCATAACTGTAATTTCACTACTGTTAGAGATCATAATATAAATATCTGTTTTTTCCAGTGGCCTTAGGTAACCCCTATGAAAGGGTTTTTAATCCCAAGGGGTTGTGACCCACCGGTTGAGGAACACCGCTCTGTAGTTTCTAGTACCTTCAGATGCCCAAGATGTGTTTCTGTGGTGAATGACTAAGGACTAAGGACTCAATCTTTCCAGGTTTCTTGGTATCTCTGTGGGGCTCCTTACAAGATCTTCCGCCAGACTTCAGATGACTTCGTCCATACATCTCTGACTGATTTCATAGAGAACCAGTAAGCTTCTGGCTGCGGAGAGAACAGGGTCGAGACCCAGGGGGGCCATGTCAGGCAACTGCTCTTCAACACCTTCGGCACCAGGGGATCTTGGAAGCTCGTGTGAGGTCAGCAGGAGGAATCCCGGGGTGGGACTTCCTCCACAAAATAGTTGCCTCTGATTTATTGCTAGAGTCTCAGAGGAAGAGCAGATAGGCCACAGGAGGCAACCAAACTCTAAGGAAGCAAATTTTGATCTTTCTACCATAAACTTAAGAAACACCCGGGCAAGTGTCCCTGGCTTCAGAGGCCGGAGGGTGGAGCATGATGAAAGACTCTTGGTTTTGTTTGTTTGTTTTGCTTTTTGCTTTTTGGGCTTTTTTTGTGGTTTATTTATTTATTTTTTTTTTTTTAAAGACAGAATCTCACTATGCAGCCCTGGCTGGCTTGGAACTTCCTGTGTAGACGAGGCTTGCCTTGAACTCACAGAGATCCTCCTGATTCTGCCTCCCAAGTTCTGGGATTAAAGGTATGTGCCTCCACTGCCCAGCTTTTAGTTTTTTAATATTCATTTGCGTAGCACTTGATGTTTGTCTTTTTCATTAGTGTTGAAGGTCTTATCCCTCTGGTGATACAGTGATAGTTTGTTAGGAATGATTCAGTTCTTTTGCATAGGCAGTGTCTATTAGTTCAGATATGGGGAGCCAAAAGCAACACCAAAAATTCCTCTGTGGAAAGGCTCGCAGGGGAAAGATGAACGGTGGCTCATCCACCTCATTCTCTGCATGCCCCTGTCACCGAGTGTAGATGGCCAGTTTACATTGTTTGCCATGGGTTATTCGCTTCATTATATACCTGAAAACAACTACTTTTTTCTTCTGATTTCAAAAATAGTAGTTAGTGTGCTGGACACACACTGCAGTTTGTTTTTAAATGTTGGTAAATACAGAGCATCTTGTGAATAACATTCTTCCCTAGGGAAAAAAAAGTCTTTTTCTGATCTCTAAGAAAGGGTAGGATTTCATTTCAGGCTTTGACCACAAATAGCAAGTCTCAGCTGAATATTAAAGACATTTCTGTTCTGATGGGCAGTTTCAGCTTTGGATGTCTCAGTCATTGTATGTCAGACGGGAGCCAGGACTGACTGCTATGCCAGGATTAAGAAGTAACAGTCATCCGTATTGGTGGGAATAAGAGGACGGTTATTGCTTTGCAGTTGAATAGTGCTGTGATTTCTGTCTGCTTAGGCATAATTAAAGAATGGTCTTTCAAGTGTTTATCTAAATATTCTTTATCAATAAAAACTTGGGAGTCAGATACCAGGGTAAGAACCTGATTGATCACAGAAATGACGGAGAAGCAATCAGTGACCTCCAGTCTCTCTCCTTCCTTGATCCAAAAGGACTGAGCCTTTCTCTCATCCCCTCCTTACTATTTCCTGTGTCTCTCTATATATCCTCAGTCCTCCAAAAGCTCTATGGCTAATTTTGGTTAGCTACTAGCTAGCTCTGTCATCTGATTCAAAATAAACTATATTGGCAGTCTCGGGAGTGTCAGAGTGTGATCAAAATATCCCACAACATATTTTGGTTTTGTCTTCTGTAGGTGGAGTTTTCCTGTCCTGCAGCTGGTCTCAAACACACTGTTCAGCTATTGGCCAGTCAGCTTGTTTATTAAACCAATCATAGCGACATATATAAGCGACATAGTGACACACAGTGTAAAGGAATATTCCATAGCAGTCTTCTGTCCCAGTGGCCAGACAGTGAGTCTTCTTTAATGTTGACTGCCTATGAGTGTGTGTGTGTGTGTGTGTGTGTGTGTGTGTGTGTGTGTAACACCACAGAGAGTACCATGATCTGGATAATCCTATCAGTCCAGCTCCTAGCAACACTGAAGCCCACTTGATAGTTCCAGGCCTATCTGTCAGCAACTGCTTTTCTTATTTAAAAATAAAGGAATGGGAGAAAATCTGCTCAGAAATAAGAATAACAAGAAACCTACAAGCCCAGCATTGGTGTTGCACGCCTTTAATCCCAATACTCAGGAGGCAGAGGCAGGTAGATTTCTATGAGTTCAAAGCCAGCCTGGTCTACAGAGCGAGTTCCAGGACAGCCAGGACTCCACAGATAAACCCTATCTTGAAAGGAAGGAAGGAAGGAAGGAAGGAAGGAAGGAAGGAAGGAAGGAAGGAAAGAAAGAAAGGAAAGGAAAGGAAAGGAAAGGAAAGGAAAGGAAAGGAAAGGAAAGGAAAGGAGGAAGGAAGAGTCTACAGCTGCATATTTAGGAGTGGGAATTTGACAACCACCTGAAATGATGATGGCTGGATCTTACTGATGATAATAGTATACAAAAAATTACAGTATTTATTTCCCAATAAATAAAAATAAACAAAGATCAACTCTGACCCATCTGTCTGGTGGCCCACTGTCCCCCAGATAGCTCTGTTATATTCTCCTATGGCAGCAAACTACTGTAAAAACCTTCCAGTCTGCCTCTCCAATTTGTCTACCACACCCTGTCTTTCAAGGGCTGAACTCAGACCCCTGGAACAAGCTATACCCAGCAAGGTGGTGCAATACGACTTTTGCATGAACCACAGGGGACAAGACACAGTGTCAGCTCTGTTTGGAAAGAATAACCGTGTAGTCTCCAAGCAAGTCCCTCACTGTGCTTAGACCTGTGAGGCCTGCAGGGAACCGTAGGACTGAAGATGTAGACTTCTGCCCTAGTTTCATTTCCTATTTCTATGGCTAAAAGAGAAAAAAGAAACCTCACAAAAACAACATAATAGATGAAGGGTTAACTTGGCTCACAGTTCCAGGCTACTGTCATGGGATGTCACAGTGGCAGGAACTCGACACAGCTGAGCACCTCTCCAGTCAGGAGCAAAGAGAATGCATGCATGCTTGTGCTCAGCCCCCTCGCTCTGCCCCCCACTAATGCAGCTCAGGATCTCCTACTTAGGAAATGGTGCAGACCCCAGTGGGCTTTCCATACCAACTGACATAATCAAGACACTCTCCCATAGGCCCTGTGGTCTAGACAGCCCCTCACTGATGCTCTCTTCCTACGATTCTAAATTGTGTCCAGTTGGCTGAATTAACCATCCTGGTTTTCTGTACTCTGGGGTTCCTGTGGCTCCTCTGATGTCCTCAGCAATCTTCTTTGCTTGTTTCCACCAACATGTCGTAGTTTATTTGTTGTGTTGGCCGTGAGATGAGTGTCAGTGTTTCTCCTTGACCATTGCTCTGGCATTGCTCTCCAGGGACTTTTACAAATGAGCGAAAGACAAAAACACAATCTGTATTCCTCATTTCTAACTATGTTTCTCCACGCGCCCCCGAGTCTGTTTACACTGAACAGGACTTTGCTCTTACAGAGGTCAGTGTCCTTCATGGATGTGTCTATAGACTTCAGCAGAGACGAATGGCAGCACCTAGACCCCCACCAAAGGAGCCTCTACCGGGACGTGATGCAGGAGACCTACAGTCACCTGCGCTCAGTAGGTAAGCAGAGTGCCCTTGTCTGTAACCAAGTCTCACTGAGCGTATTCTGTTCTCAGTTGGATGCCGCTGTGAGGTGTCTTGAATATGTCATGGTTTTTGTCTGTGTTTGACTAGGATTCTTTTAAGATTTGTTTATTTTCTTTATTTCACACGCATGGAAATGCAGTACCTTTGGAGGCCAGAAGAGGGCATCACATTCACTATAGTGAGTGAGTGCCCAGTGTGGCTGCTGTGAACCAAGTCAAGAACAAGTGCCCACAATGGCTGAGCATCTCCCCAGCCCTGCAACAGGGTTCTCTTTCTCCTTTGTGCACTCTCAGGATGGCTCTGTTCATAGAGATCTGTGGCTACTTAAGAACAAACTCTCGTTACACACTAAGACCCAACAGATCGGACTCTGAAACATAAGTAGTTGGGCCCAGTCCTTTATTGTTTTCTGTGAACAGGATATCAGGTTCCCAAGACAGAGGTTTTCGTGCTGGAGCAAGGGAAAGGAGACATGGGCATTGCAAAATGAGAGCCCATGTCAGCCCTGTGTAGGTGGGAGGCAAGGGATCCTCAGAAAAGACAAGAGAGAAAACCTCAGCCATCTGGAGCAGGATTGACACCTTAGGAATGCTGTTAAGGTGACTTCTGGGAAGTTCTACATTTCTTGTATGCTTGATTGAGGACCCTTAACACTGACTTCTCAAGTAACTGAATGCCTTCTGCTCGGGTTGTCTTCTTAACTTTATAGATTCTAGAGTGTGTGCTAATCTACCTCATTCTTTTTTTCTTTTCTTTTATTTTTTTTTTCTGAAGCTGAGGACTGAACCCAGGGCCTTGTGTTTGCTAGGCAAGCGCTCTTCCACGGAGCTAAATCCCCAACCCCCTTACTTTTATTTTTTAATTGACTTTTTTCCTCACACCTTTCCATGGCCTTAGTCTTTATTTATATACACAGGTATTTATGAATCTTTCTGTCATAATTACTTTGTGATATACACATTTATACTCCTACATCCCATTTTCTTCTTTTCCTGTGAGCTGCTTCAGAACCATATCTCCACCCCAGCTCCTCCTGCTTTTTTTGTGGCTACTACATGAGATTTCTCATTGCTTCCCAGCTTACCTTGCCTTTCCTCTAGCTTATGATTTGAGAATCCTTCTCACTGAACCTAAGGAGTATCTGTCTGCTGTGTTTGACACTATTAATCACCCTTTACCAAGCTTCATCTTAATGCTGCCTGAGTGAGTCCACATATGACCTGGTCTTTCTTCCTGGTTACTTGATTTTTTTTCTGTTGCTGCTGTTTGTTTGTTTGGTTTTGTTTGGTGTTTTTTTTTTTTTTTTTTTTTGAAACAGGGTTTCTCTGTAGCTTTGGAGCCTGTCCTAGAAACTAACTCTCATAGACCAGGCTGGCCTTGAACTCACAGATATCTGCATGCCTCTGCCACCCGAGTGCTGGAATTAAAGGCGTGCGCCACCACTGCCCGGCATTGCTGCTGTTTTGTACTTTACTGATGAGGCCTGCATTTAATTATAATCTTCTGTTTTAGACTTACGATATGGAGTTTGTATATCCTTTTCTCTCTTTTGCCCACATCCTCCTCCCTCTGTATAATGGAAACATTTAAAAATCATCCATGTTATGAGGTCTAAAATAAATTTGAGCTATTTAACTGTATAGACATGCTAGTTTGCTCTGTGTTACCTTGTTCTTTGCTTTATTTTGTTCACATCTGCTTGTACATAATACATGTATCTAATTATTTCCTCTAACTGATGTTTTGTGTACCTGGATGTTTCATGTCCACCACAACCTTTTTCATCATGTCTCTGTGCTCATCCTGGGTGAGCCATTTGCACCACGCCATGTAACCTCTGCTAGCTGTAGCTGTTTCTAGCTGGACTGCAAACTAAAATAGCATGTTTCACATTGAGCAAGAAGATGCGTTACATGATGCTTTCTCATATTTCATTCCAGAAGAATTGCAGCAAACTGGTGGCCAGAAAGAGACCTGTCAGCAAATAGAAAATAAGTCGGCAAGTGATGTTATCTTCATCAAGAAGACACTGGATACAAAGAGTCGTTGTGGACCTAAGGTCATTAGAAAAATAATTCATGTGAACCCATACATTGTTCTGCCCCCCAAAAGACCCCATCAGTGTGACTCACTTGGGAATGATCTGAAGCATAATTTAGAATTACAGAGTCATAATGAAAATAACGGGCCAGAGAGAATTAAAAAGATTACTGAATATGATAAAAATTCATCTTATACCAATGCTGAGCATACTGTAACAGGAAAGAAATTATGGGACCAAAATCAATGTGGAAAAGCCCTCAATTATGAACAAGTACCTTATCAATATCAGAAAATTTATATTGGAGAGAATTCATATGAATGTGCTGAATTTGGAAAGCTCTCCACCCAGAAGTCACAGTTCAAAGTACATATGAAATCTCATACAGGAGAAAAACTTTATGTATGTGTTGAATGTGGGAAGGCATTTTCACAAAAGCCAGAATTCATTACACATCAGAAAACCCATACTAGAGAGAAACCCTATAAATGCAATGACTGTGGAAAGTCCTTTTTCCAAGTCTCTTCTCTCTTCAGACATAAGCGGTTTCACACTGGAGAAAAGCTCTTTGAATGCAGTGAGTGTGGGAAAGGCTTCTCCTACAACTCAGACCTCATTATCCATCAGAAAATCCACACAGGAGAGAGACATCATGCATGCACTGAGTGTGGCAAAGCCTTCACACAGAAGTCCACACTCAAGATGCACCAGAAGATCCATACAGGAGAGAGATCCTATATATGTATCGAGTGTGGACAGGCTTTCATCCAGAAGACACACTTGGCTGCACACCGCAGAATTCACACAGGAGAAAAGCCATATGAGTGCACTAACTGTGGAAGGTCCTTCATTTCCAAGTCACAGCTCCAGGTCCACCAGCGAATTCACACAAGAGTGAGGCCCTATCTGTCTGCTGAGTATGGGGAAATCTTCAATGGTAGTTCCAACCTCATTGCACTTAAAAAAGCTCAAGTGAGAGAGAAATCTTCCGTCTGCACAGAATGTGGGAAGGCCTTTACCTACAAGTCAGAATTAATCATTCACCAGAGAATTCACACCGGAGAGAAACCTTATCAGTGTAGTGACTGTGGAAAAGCCTTCACCCAGAAGTCAGCTCTCACAGTGCACCAAAGAATCCATACAGGAGAAAAATCATATGTGTGCATGAAATGTGGGCTGGCTTTCATCCAAAAGGCACACTTGGTTGCACACCAGATAATCCATACTGGAGAAAAACCTTATAAATGTGGTCACTGTGGAAAACTCTTTACGTCCAGGTCCCAACTCCATGTACACAAACGAATTCACACAGGAGAAAAACCTTACGTGTGCAGTAAATGTGGGAAGGCATTCACTAACAGGTCAAATCTCATCACACATCAGAAAACACATACAGGAGAAAAAGCCTATGTATGTTCAAAGTGTGGAAAGGCCTTCACTCAGAGGTCAGACCTGATGATACACCAGAGAATTCATACCGGAGAGAAACCATATAGCTGCAGTACCTGTGGGAAAGCCTTTACCCAGAAGTCACACCTCAATATACACCAGAAAATTCATACTGGAGAGAGACAGTATGAATGCCACGAATGTGGAAAAGCCTTCAATCAGAAATCAATACTGATTGTGCATCAGAAAATTCATACAGGGGAGAAACCCTACGTGTGTACTGAATGTGGGCGAGCTTTCATCCGAAAGTCAAACTTCATCACTCATCAAAGAATTCATACCGGAGAGAAACCTTATGAATGCAATGACTGCGGGAAGTCCTTTACTTCTAAATCTCAGCTCCTGGTGCACCAGCCAATCCACACAGGTGAGAAACCTTATGTGTGTGCTGAGTGTGGGAAAGCCTTTAGTGGCAGGTCAAATCTCAGTAAGCACCAAAAAACTCACACAGGGGAGAAACCCTACGTCTGTTCGGAATGTGGGAAGACCTTCAGACAGAAGTCAGAGTTGATTACACATCATAGAATTCATACTGGAGAGAAGCCTTATGAGTGTAGTGACTGTGGGAAATCATTCACTAAGAAATCACAGCTTCAAGTGCATCAGCGAATTCATACAGGAGAGAAGCCTTACGTGTGTTCTGAATGTGGGAAGGCCTTCACTGATAGGTCCAACTTAAATAAACACCAAACAACACACAGTGGAGATAAACCTTATAAGTGTGTAGTCTGTGGAAAAGGCTTTGTTCAGAAGTCAGTGCTCAGTGTGCATCAGAGTATTCACACTTAAACATTATGAGGAAAAACTCACTGAGGTCTTGTCTTACTGTAATTGTTGTTTCTGTGAAATGGGATGCTATGTATATTATTGTAAGTAAAAATTATTGTAACGTAAGTGACAGTGCAACACATTACTGCTCAGAAAAGGACCCAGAGAAGGACCTTTCTACATGCCAAGAAGAAACTGCATCCATTTGATACAATAGAAACTTTCTCATGAAGAAATTCAGTGGAACACTTACCAAGTTCTTCACAAGGACGACTGTGTTAACCATGTTAATGAGAATACTGTTGGGATAGATATAGTGCCAACTAATTGAATGATGAAACCATATAATACACATGATAGCAAGTCTTTTTTCTGTCAGTTATTTGTTGCAAACATTAACAGACCTGTGGGTGTGTTTGCATTCTTGGTTGAATCTAACATATTTATGCATACCCAGTACTTCTGTTGAGAGACATATACTACATGATGGGGCATGGCATTTCATGTCTCTAATTCCAGCCTTTGGAAGGGCAGAGGCAGAAGGGTCACCATGACTTCAAGGCTAGTCTAAGCTACAGGGTAAGACCCTATCTCAAAAATGAGAAAGACCACAATAAAAACATATACTAACAAAAACTTCAGAGTGTAAGTGGATTCTCATTGCCATTTATACCAGGACCTGTAACCCACTTCATAAGGTACCAGTTGTCAGTGTCACAGCTCTGGAGGGAAGGATTACCCTGGCCATCAAACGCCAGGTTATACCTACAGCTCAAAAGGGAAAAGTATCCTGGCTGTTAGAAGCCAGGCTATACCTCTGAGTGTTACAGCTCTGAAGAGAAATGCATCCTGGTTGTCGGAAGCAGTATCTATAACTCCGAAGGGAAAGGTATCCTGGCTGCTGGAAGCCAGGACACCTACAACGTTGTTCTGATGGCTTCCCCAAGGAATGTAGCAGTCCTGCCCCACTCTGCTAGGGGAGTTCCCCCACAGAATGTAGCAGTTCTGCTCGTGCTCTGGCAAAACTACTCCAGAGAAAGAAGGTCATCCCCTAAACCTTTTTCAGGAGATTTATTGGGAGGGCGAAATCCAGAAGTTTGGCTGCCTCTGCTGGGGTGGAAAAGGGCAACTCCCAACTGAACAGGTATAGGACTTATTTAGGGCTTCTTAGGGGTGGAGTTTTTCAAGGTGGGAATTGGTCAGGTTTCAGTCCCTGAGCTTGACAACCTCAGAGATTGGATGGTTTTGTGCTCAGGGAGGTTGATTTCGTGCTCAGGGATTGGCTGTTTTTTGTTTGTTTGTTTGTTTTGCTGAGTTGGTCAGGGCAGAGTGTGTTTCTTTGACTCGGGTTTCATGGCCAAAGTGTGTTTCTTTTGCTGGCCCTTTTTAATCTTTTGGCTCCGGTTTCATTGGTCCCTTTTAGCCTTTTGGCTCTGATTTCAGGGCCAATTGGCTCTGGTCTCAGGATCAGGGTGTGTTTCTTTGGCTCTGGTTTCAGGGTTAGGGTTTGTTTTTGGCTGACCTTCGTACCCTACACCAGTAATTACTTTCTGTTCACTGGGTGGTGCCTTTAATCCCTGCACTTGGGAGGCATAGGCAGGCAGATATCTCTGAGTTTGAGGCCAGCCTGGTGCACAAGAGCTAGTTCCAGGACAGGCTACAAGGCTCCAAAAGCTACAGAGAAACCCTGTCTCCAAAAACAAAAACAAAAAAACCCCACAAACTTAAAAAAAATGAATGTTGTTCTCAGGGCCCTGGAAGGCTAGAATATTGGCCAGAAGCAATGAGGAAATTTAGAAGTATATGGTTTATTGACAAGCTGAAAAGTCAGCAATCACATTGTCTGGATTGGTCCATATCAAGTTTTAGCAAGTCCAGGACTCGGTTATTTGGAGCAGGTTATCATTGATGCTTGAGTGTGTTTGTCAGCCAAATGGAAACCTGGTAAGACATATACAAACTGGGAACAGAAGTTAAAGTGTATGAACTCAACTGAAACTTGTAGTCTCAGTAATTGAGGAAGGGGAAGGGTCCTAAGATCAGGAGAGAGAGAAAAATACCATAATCCTTTTAACTTGTGAGAAGTGAAGTAAAACATTACACAACACTCTTCCACAATAATCCCTGATGCTTAAGAGGACAGGGTGTGATACGCATGTTCCATTTGAGGATGAGAATTCTGCCCTTTTCTGTCCTTTTTGCCCTGTGCTGTGGCCAGTTGTGGATGTTTATATTAATCACATCTACAGCAAACAGAAACTTGATGAGCATTAAGAGATGCATTATCTATTGCTGTGGGACAATGGTTTTACCAGGTAAACATTTGTTTCTTGTACTTGTTTAATAAAATGCTGATTGGCCAGTAGCCAGGCAGGAAGTAGAGGTGGGGTGATGAGAACAGAATTCTGGGCTAATATAATAGGTAATAAGAAGCATAAGCTAGTGGGCCAATCAGTTTATAACCAAGCAGACCTCTGTGCATCTCTTTGGGACTTAACGACTGCGGGAACCAGGCAGCACAGAAACCTCAGCGAACAGAATGGTGCCCAACATGTGGACAAGTGCGTCCACAGAAAACCTGTGAGAGCTTGAACAGGGTTAAGCATGGCTTCTTGGTAGCAGCAATTTCTCGGGTTTGCTCTGCTTGCTAGAGGCAAGTGCATCTCATTTAAAAGAGGCTTCCTGACTCAGCTTTAGCTGCAAAACCTTGCAGCTCTTTTAAGAGGTCCTGCCATGAAACATTTAAATGATGTTGATGAAAATCTGACCTCATGCTTTTTAGTGGTGGCAGGGACCTTGAAACATCATAGAGTTGTGGTGATAAACATGACTCTGGTCAGTACTTCCACCATGAGGCTTGAATTTCAGAAAGCTAAGGAATGGGCTGCATTCAGCTGTAAAAGCCATGGCTTTAATTCTAGCCATGTTGCTTAGCAAATTAAAGACTCATGTGGTCAGAAAAAGAGAGATGTACAGTAAAGGTAGATTCAGACAAAGAAAACCTCAATGTTTTACAATGTGTTTAAAAATATGTGTCGGCTTGGGAGAAAAAAGAATAAAGTCCTTAAAGGAAAAGAGCAGTTGGGTGTGGTGGCACACACCTTTAATCCCAGCACTTGAGAGGCAGAGGCAGGCAGATCTCTGTGAGTTCAAGGACACCCTGGTCTATAGATGGAGTTCCAGGACAAAGATACATAGAGAACCCTGTCTCAAAAAGCCAAAAATTAAAAATAAAAGAGATAGAGGTTAAAGCCACGTAAAGATGGAAATCACACAGATGTTAAGGAAGACCACCTGAGAAATCTCTGGTAGGAACAGATGGCCCAGATGTCAGAGTTCTACATCCAGAACAGATTCAAGACTGCTGCCTGAGATAATCAAGCCTTACTAGATACTCTAGTCATGACTTGATCATAATTCTAAATTTTCTTTAGGTGCCCATAAGATTATCAGTGCCCCCAACCAGCAGGAAGTAGCCTGAAAAACTATGCCAACATTCTCAAAAATTAGACTATGGACATTTTCCTTTGTTTAGAATGTTTGTTACAAGTTGTTATGGCTAATGGTCAGGAGAAAAGCTAAACAAAGGATATTAGATTCAGAGTTTTTTTTTTTAAAGGGGGGAAGTGTTGTGGGACAATGGTTTGTACCCTGTAACTTATATTTTAAATAAATGTAGATTGGCCAGTAGCCAGACAGAAAGTATAGGTGGGGTGAACAGGCAGGAAGTAGAGGCGGGGCAATGAGAATTTTAGGAAAAGGAAAGTTCATTCTGCAGTCGTGACCCAGCCACAGAAGAAGCAAGATGTAACTGCCTCACCAAATAAGGTACCAAGCCATGTGGCTAATGTAGACAAGAATAGTGGGCTAATGTAAGTTATAAGAATTAACAAGAAGTCTGAGCTACTAGGCCAATTACTTTATAACTAATATAGACCTCTGTGTGATTTCTTTGGGTCTTAATGGATGTAGGACTGGACTGGACAGAAAACCTCTAGCTGTCTTGTGGGCCACACATAGAATTGGGATCCCAACCCCCATCCAGCAGACCCTGCAAGTCCCATCCTGCCCCCAAACTCATTTATCTTCTTGCAGCCTCAATGGAACTCCAAAACACAGCTTGTTAGCCAGGCGGTGGTGGAGCATGCCTTTAATCCCAGCACTCGGGAGGCAGAGGCGGGCGGATCTCTGTGAGTTCGAGGCCAGCCTCGTCTACAAGAGCTAGTTCCAGGACAGGCCCCAAAGCCACAGAGAAACCCTGTCTTGAAAAACAAAAACAAAAAACAAAAACAAAACAAAAAACACAGCTTGTTACAATACTGAGGACCAAGAGTTGAGTGACCAGCCACCTGGGAGGATACCCACTCTCTAGGCCCTCCATAGTTGGGTAAAACCCTGGCTGGGCCTTTCCCTCACCTGCCTCAGCTTATCTAGCCAGACAGCAGGACTTGACCTCTTTGCTCATATTCTTATTCCTCCCACTCTTCAACAGACTTTGGGAGATCAGTCCAGTGCCCTGATGCAGGTTTCTGCCTCTGTTTCCATCAGTTGCTGGATGAAGGTTCTATGGCGATATTTAAGATATTCATTAGTCTGACTATAGGGCAAGGCCAGTTCAAGCATCTTCTCCTATATTGCTTAGAGTCTTAGCTGGGGTCATCCTTGTGAATTCCTGGGAATATTTTGAGAACCAGGTTTCTTGCTAACACCGCAATGGTTCCCTCAATCAAGATATCTCTTTCCTTGCTCTCATCTCTCTCCTTCCTCCATCTCAACTATCCCATTCCCTCAAGTTCTCCCCTTCTAGCCTCCTCTTCTCCTTCTACCCTCCCTTTTCCCCCACCCCTATATTCCCAGTTTTTTCAGATGATCTTGTCTATTTTGACTTTCCAGGTGGATCTATATGTTTTTCTTAGGGTTCACCTTGTTACTTAGCTTCTCTAGGTGATGTGAGATTTCCCTCTGTATGCTGTGATTACCATTAGTGAATAAAGAAACCTGGCTTGGCCTATTGATAGGGCAGAACTTAGGTAGGTGGGGAAAACTAAGCTGAATGCTGGGGGAAAGGAGGCAGAGTCAGAGAGAAGCCATGGAGCTGCGCCAAAGACAGTGCTGAAACTTTGCTGGTAGGCCACAACCTCATAGTAATGCACAGATTACTAGAAATGGGTTAAAATAAGATGTAAGAGTTAGCCAATAAGAAATTAGAGCTAATGAGCCAAGCAGTATTTTAATTAATGTAGTTTCTGTGTGGTTATTTTGGTTCTGGGTAGCTGGGATGAACAAGAGGCCTCCTCCTAGATCATGAACTTTAGGCTCAATATCCTTTGTTTATAGCTAGTATCCATTTATGAGTGAGTACATACCATATTCATTATTTTGAGTCTGGGTTACCTCATTCAGGATGGTGTTTTCTAGCTCCATCCATTTGCATGCAAATTTCAAGATGTTATTTTTTTTAACTGCTTAGTAGTACTCTCGTGTGTAAATGTGCCACGATTTCTTTATCCATTCTTCAGTTGAGGGGCATCTAAGTTCTTTCCACGTTCTGGCTATTACAAATAATATTGCTCTGAACATAGTTGAACATATATCTTTGTAGTATGATTGAACATCTTTTGGGTATAAGCCCAAGAGCGGTATTGCTGAATCCTGTGGTAGATTGATGCCCAATTTTGTGAGAAACCACCAAGTGGTTGTACAAGTTTGCATTCCCACCAGCAATGGATGAGTGTTCCCCTTACTCCATATCCTCTCCAGCATAAGCTATTATTGGTGTTTCTGATCTTAGCCATTCTGACAGGTGTAAGATGATATTGCCAGAGAGGGCTGTCTGTGGGGAGTGGACAGTGGAGCGGGCCTTGTGTGAACACAGACCAGTGGGTGGCATAGGTGGTGGTGCAGCCCACCTGCAGGTCTCTCACCTGCTGGCCAGCTGTTGGGGTCTGCACCAGAGTAGTGGGCTTTCACCAGAGTTGAGACAGGGCCCAGTTGCATTGCTGTGACTGAGACGAGAGGGGGAGGGGCAGGGATGTAACCAGGGCCTGGAGGTTGGGGCAGTTCACCTGGGAGACCAATCACTCACCTGTTCTTCCAACTGGTGTGGGTGGAGCTTATGGCTGTAGGGTCAGCTGATGCTGTGGGAAAGGGCTGTCCACTGGGAGGCTGCTGGGGTAGATGGGCTTGGATGGGGGGGGGGTGGCTCTTGTGGGAACAAAGTCCAGGTGGTGGCAGCGATTGTGGTGGAGCCAAGCATCTTCATATCCCTCAGAAGCACCAATCCTGACTTGCCTAATTCCTGACTGTGATGTGATCCATGTCCCTTTCTGAAACCTGCCACGCCAGCCTGGGGGTCTGCGAAAAGCCCACTGTGCCCACCCTGCACCATGAAGCATGGCAACCACTTAGGTGCAGAAATGACACAGACAGGATTGTTTAGATCTTGAGAACAATCCTGAGAACCGAGTATCTAATCTTTGCCAGCAGCTTCCCTAGCTGGTGCTGATTTACAGCCTAGCTGCTACAACTGCAGATGCTTGGAGTCTGAATCAAATTGGCCATCGTGGTTGCTTTAGGGCTATTTGAGGAGACTTTGCAGAACAATCCCCACCCTGAGGCACAATGCAGTGATGTGACAGCCGCTCTAAGTGGATGGTCTTGGGACCAGAGAAGTTGATAAGGGCCAAGTAGGGAGGAAAGAAAGCGTAAGTTGTTGTGGAATAATCTTTCTGTACACTGTGAATATGTCACCATTATTTGGGTTAATAAAAAGTTGAACGACCAATAGCTAGGAAGGATTTCCTGGCACAGAGGACTCTGGGAAGAAGGGCAGAGATACCAGGAGACACAGAGGAAGAAGCATGGGCAATACAGAATAAAGGTAACCAAGCCATGTAAAAGAATGTAGATTAAAAGATATGGGTTAAGTTATAAGGGCTAGTTAGAAACAAGCTTAAGCTATTGGCCGAGCTTTCATAATAATAAGTCTCCATGTCATTACTGGGGTGCTAACAATACTGATAAAAGTCCGACTACAATAATTGCTCAGTGGCCACCATGGGAATTAGGTCGACTTTGTGGGTGCTCATGCACTCTTTCTCCTGGAGAACCCAGAGAACAGGGCTGCCTGTGCAGAGTAACTGCTCTGTTCTGCTGGGGTGTACGTGCCATAGCCTGAGGAACTAGCTAGGTGAACAAATGGGGCTTTTGTGATCAAGAGGGACCTTATCAAATTTGAGTTACTCTTGAGACAGTTTTCTTTGCCTGTGTGGCCAGGCATGACTTTTTCTTCCTCACAGTTAGGGGTTCCCATGTTAGTTTTCTGGGTGACTTCCTCCAACTGACGGCAGCTTTCTGAGAGAGAGCTCTTCTTATTCCCTGCCCCCAAATTCCACTAGACACTCAGTTTAGACTTAGAGAGAAGAGGCACAGAAGACAGGCAACCAGAACACAACTCTTCCCTTTCCTTAAAAGCAACAAATCTAAACACAGCTCAGTGATCAAGAGGACCATAACCTGGGGACAATGTCATACGAAAATGGCAGCCTAGGTTCTGGAGAGATGGCTCAGATGTCAAGAGCACCTGCTGAGTAATCATGAGGGCCAGGGTAAAGACCAATGTCCTGCACCAGCCCGTGATTTCAGCAAGGGTGTGGGGAGGCATAGGAGGATCAGTGGGGATGGCCGGATCCCAGTCTGATGAAGAAAAAGGAAGCCCCAGGTTCAGGGAGAGAACAGAATAGCTAGAGAATCATAGAGAGTACCCACTGTTCTTTGCACGAATCTTTAGGTGCACCCACGTGTATGTAGCCCCATGCACAAATAGACCTTTAAAACAAGCAAGTGGTGGCCTTTTTAGCTAACTCACCGGTTTCACACTCACATACAGGGCCCACCTGGCGGGTGGCAGTGATCCCCTGCCTTATCTCCAGCCTTTCCTGTGTACCCATCATTGCCTGAATACTCTGCAATCTCACACCTTTTGTCTTTGTAATACTGCGGTCCCAAATTCAGCTTTCGGTTTCCTTAAGCCTTGGGTGGTGACTCCTAGGACCTGGGGAGCACGCTTTAGTGTGGCCATCAGCCTCGGCATGGCCAAGCACCTCCCTGGACACGGGAGCACGCTTTAGTGTGGCCGTCAGTCTTGGCATGGCCAAGCACCGCCCTGGACATGGTTTCAGGGCAGCACTCACTTTATACTGCTTGTTCCCTAAGTGATGTACATGTATTTGCTGTATCTGGTTATAGTCTTTCTTCAGTTTTTTATGCTCACCCCCAAACAATAAATCTAGTTTCTCTATGTAACAATGTCAATTCTGGTGAACCCAACGACATTTTCAAGTATTATTTAACCTGCCAGTAGTATGTTACCATGATTATCCTAGTCACCTTAATTTAGCTTCTGGACTTCTAGTCTTGATTTTCCTCTTATCTCTTTGAGCCCCCATTTTCGCTCCTTTGTTGTCCTTTTCTTGATCCCAGTGTTGGATAATACACAGTTCAGTTCTTGTTCTTTACATCAAGTCCCTAAAGATCCCGTCCTACTTCATGGTTTTAAATTGTATAACTAATAATATTAAATTATTAACTTTGGGATAATACAAGCTGCTATACATCCAACTACACAGTATTTTCATTTGGTGTCTGAAAACCACCTCAAGATTAACAGTCCCTTGGAACTGGAGAGACTGTTCAGTGGTTAAGAGTGTTTAGTATTCATGAGTACCCAAGTTCAGTTCCCAGAACACGCATCAGATGGCTCACAACTACTGTACAGCTCCAGCGGGTCTAGCATCCTCTTCTGGCTTCTTCAGGCACACAAAGACACACAGATATGAATTTTTTTAAAAAAAAAAAAAACTTAAATAATTAACATATCCAAAACTAAACTTTCAGTTTTCCCCTGTGTTAGAACTGCATTTTATCCCACCATTTTGTTAGTTTTGTTTTCCAAGACAGGGTTTCTATGACCCAGAACCTTAACTCCTCCTGCCTCAGCTCCCTACCTTCACCAGCAAGTGTCGGGGTTACAGGTATGCCACCATGCCTGATACAATTACATTTAACATAGTCTGTCCAGGAACTTGCTCTTGTAGACCAGGCTGGCCTCAAACTCACAGAGATCCACCTGCCTCTGCCTCCCGAGTGCTGGGATTAAAGGCATGCACCACCACCACTCAGCACAAGATATTTTTTAAACCAGCAAGAAATACTGAGCATGCATGTTCTGTATCATTCCTGTTATTTCTTCTAACACTGCTGCCTAGATTGGTATCTGGTCTACCTTATAAGACAGTAGGACGCAGGCTGAGCAAATGTCTTGCCTGAAACAATAAGAAATTCAGTTTTGTAGCTCACTCTCAATATGCCCTCTCTGTCCATGGCCTTAGATCAATATTGAGATCTCACCTATTCCCAGCAGCCTATTTCCAGGGCAAACATTATTTTATGCCCTTAAAGCAAGCTTCATTGCTAGCCATGGTGGCACACACCTTTAATCCCAGTTTGAGGCTAGCCTGGTCTACAGAGTGAGTAACAGGACAGCCAGGGCTACACAGAGAAACTCTCAAGAGAACAGAGAGGAAGAGGGGGGAGGGAAGGAGGGAGAGGGGGGCTATCTTTCAGAGTACTAGGAGAGCGTCAACAAGTATGAGGGTCACTTTAATTTTAAATAAAGAATACAAAGGCAGAGCAGAGTTGGAATGACTGTTCACAAAATCAGCAGGGTTGCAGCCTCCATCATCCAAAACACCCAGATACCACTTCCAAAATCCTCATGAGGCTATCTGGGCTCCACCTCAGATGCCTACAGTGTTAAGAAGGGAAAAGAAACAGAGGAAGGGTTTCTTAAATACTCTACTCATACAAATGCCGTTTTCATCTTGTTGACCTGCGATGGAGATGGAGACAGGACTTTTTGCCTGGGTTTCTTGTGACCGACATGGAAATGCGAGCTGTGGACAGCAGTCTGCCGTACAAACACATCAGACTTTTTCACTGTAAATGAAATACAGTCTAGGGGTGTAACTTTTTATTTTAGGTAACCAACTAAATATTCAAGTTTTTTTATTTCCTAGATTAATCTTGAGTATTTAGTTCATCATTTATAAATATCCTTGAGTTGACATCAAAGAGGGTGAAACATGTAAGCTTGGGACTTTTATGGGAAACCACACCTCTCCTACAGTCAGGAACAGTGGTGCTCAATAACCTACAAATGCCACAGAGTGTCTCCATACATTTCTCTTATAATAAATGCATGAGATTTGAATGGATGCTTTCTCACATTGGTGACAGTGTATAATGCCTCCCACCCAAATAATTTGTTTAGGACAAATAATAGTGAAAGAATTCTTAATGTTAACTACATAGTTCCTTCTTTCATGCAAATTCTCTGGAATTACAATAATAAAAATAGCACCTAATGTTTATGATCTGCTATGTTCAAGGCACTGTTCTAAGTGCTTTTACATGTTTAGACACGATAAGACAAAAAAATGGCCTTAGATCTATCTTACAAACGATTAAACCAAAGCAAGGCTATTTATAACAAATGTCACAAAGGAAGTGAACTGATAGGACCACTATAATGTTGACACAGATGTTTTCTGTGCTAAAGACCTTTATATACCACAGTAACAGAACCACTTTCTATTTTAATTTCTAAAATGCAGTATAGTTATAAACAAATGCTTCCCTATGCGCATTATATCAGCATTTCCATTCTCCCATATAATTCTCCAAATGCTGAAACTCATGAATCCCACACTCACATCTGTGAGATTTCTTCACTGATAATGACCAGGAAACGGTATGCTGATCAAAAAAAAAAAAATAAGTTAACTCAAACAAAAATTTGTGAATGATGACTGAAGTCTATTCCGCATTCTTTACAGTCAAAAGGTTTGTCACTGCTATGAATCCTCTGATGTTGCATTAACTGTGACCCTCGAGTAAAGGCCTTCTTACATTCTTTACACTGATATGGCTTCTCACCAGTATGAATCCGTTGGTGCCGAGAAAGATGTGAGCTCTGAGCGAAGGCCTTTCTGCAGTCTTTACATTCATAGGGCTTCTCGCCTGTGTGGATTCTCTGATGTAGAGTAAGCTGAGAGCCATGACCAAAGGCCTTCCCGCATTCCTTGCATTCATAAGGTTTTTCTCCAGTGTGAGTTCGCTGATGTTGAGTCAGCTGGGAGCCGCGAATAAAGGCCTTCCCACATTCCCTACACTGATACGGTTTTTCCCCTGTATGAATTCTCTGATGCTGTATGAGCAGTAATCCACGCGCAAAGGCTTTGCCACATTCGCTGCATACATAGGGCTTCTCACCAGTGTGCAGTCTCTGGTGCTGGGAAAGGTGTGAGCTCTGCGTGAAGGCCATTCTGCACTCCTTACACTCATATGGCTTTTCACCGGTATGGATTCTCTGATGTTGAGTAAGCTGTGAGCTACGAATAAAAGATTTTCCACAGTCCTTACACTCATAGGGTTTCTCGCCAGTGTGAATTCTCTCGTGCTGCGTAAGTTCTGAGCCTCGACTAAAATTTTTTCCGCACTCTTTACAGTCGTAGGGTTTTTCACCAGTGTGAATCCTCTGATGTCGCGTAAGCAGTGATCCACGGTTAAAGGCTTTCCCACACTCCTTACATTGGTAAGGTTTCTCACCAGTATGAATTCTCTGGTGTTGAGTTAGTTGTGAGCCATGACTGAAGGTCTTTCCACATTCTTTACATTCATACGGCTTTTCGTTAGTATGAACCCTCTGATGCTGAGTGAGTTGGGAACCACGGATAAAAGCCTTTCCACACTCATCACACTTATAGGGCTTCTCGCCAGTATGAATTCTTTGATGTTGCATAAGTAGTGAGCCTCGAATAAAAGCCTTTCCACATTCCTTACACTCATATGGCTTTTCTCCATTGTGAGTTTTCCGGTGCTGTGAAAGCTGGGAACCACAGATAAAAGCCTTCCCGCATTCTACACATTCATAGGGCTTCTCGCCAGTGTGGATTCTCCTGTGGAGAATGAGCTGGGACAGCTGAGTAAAGACCTTCCTGCATTCTGTACAGTCGTAAAGCTTCTCTCCAGTATGCAGTCTCTGGTGCAGAGTAAGCTGCGAATTCTGAGGGAAAGCCTTTCCACAGTCTTTACATTCAAAGGGCTTCTCACCAGTATGGACTTTTTGATGTCGGCTGAGTTGTGAGCTTCGAATAAAGGCTTTCCCACATTCTTCACACTTATATGGTTTTTCACCAGTATGAATCCTGTGATGTAAAATAAGTTGTGAGCTTTGAGTAAAAGCCTTTCCACATTCCTTGCATGCGTAGGGTTTCTCGCCGGTATGAAGTCTTTGGTGAAGACTTAGCTGGGAGTCACGACTGAAGGCTTTCCCACACTGCTTACATTCATAGGGCTTCTCCCCAGTGTGGATGCTCTGATGCTGAGTTAGGTGTGAAGCCCGTCTGAAGGCTTTCCCACAGTCCTCGCATTTATAGGGTTTCTCCGTAGAATAAGCTCTTGGATGCTGAGATAAATAAGTATGAGGGCTGAAAACGGACATTTTGTCATATGTTATCATCTCTTGCCTGTAATATTACTTCTGATTTTCTTCTTCCTTCTCTAGCCTGTCTTTGACTTCCAAATACCTCCCAGAATTAGTATTAGTCTTAGGTGCAGTCTTTAAACCTGCCACTCACTTCCCACTGAGATCATTCTGATTCCTTAATGTGCTATTTTGAAGGTAAGTCCTTATTCAAACATCTAAAAGTCAAGTCTGAAAGAGAAAAGTAGTTTCTGAGAAACAGAAATAATATACCAGAAAAGACAACAGGAAAAGAACATCTGTAAGTAACAAGCATCTATTAGTGTTCTCCAAACATTGCTTACTACCTCCCACCCATATCATTATCTACTATTCAAAGCAAAGTTTACTACAAATGTAGTTTCCTTAAAGCAATACGGTTTTCCATTCTATATTATTCTATACATGCCTCCATAGTCAAAAACCAACTTAAGTGATTTTGATGCTGCTATCCAGAATAGAAAATATTAGCTTTGCTGGGCAGTGGTGGTGCATGCCTTTTACCCCACACTCGGAAGGCAGAGGTAGGAGGGTTTCTGTGAGTTAGAGACCAGCCTGGTCTACAGAGTGAGTTACAGGACAGCCAGGGCTATACAGAGAAACCCTGTCTCAAGAAACCCAAAAAGAAAAGTTTAGTCACGAGGCATGGCGACACTTGCTGTGATTGATGATGATGATGATGATGGTGGTGGTGATATTGATATGTATGTATACACATGCATTAGCTTAGAATGGCTTCCTATATTAAAATACATAATGGGTACCTGAGATGAGAGAACAATGAAGATTCGCCTGGGAGTGAAAAAGGGTGAGATTAAGAAAGTTTTCAAGTCAGGAAGTGGTGGTGTGCGCCTTAATTATTGTTCCTGAACAGTAAGAATCCTGCCTCGGGTGGAGGGGTGGAGATAACTCAGTACTGCTATTCTGTAAGGCCTAGGTTAGTTTCTCAGCACCTACATAGTAACTAACAATTGCGTGTAATTACAGCTCCAGCGGATCTGATGCCCTCTACTAGGCTCTGTAGACAATGCATTTGGTATAAAGACATACATGTAGACAAAAAACACATAAAAGAAAAAATTTATTTTTTTAATTATTTGGTTTTTTAGACCAGGTTTTTCCAGGCTGTCCTGGAACTGGCTTTGTAGAACAAGCTAGCCTTGAACTCAGAGAGATCTGCCTGCCTCCACCTTTGGAGTCCTGGGACGAAAGGCATGTGCCACCACACCCAGCAAGAGCAAAATTTTAAAAATAAATCTTAATTTTTAAAAAAAAATCTTGGCCAGACATCATGGTGTATAGTCGCACATCCATTTGATCCCAGCACTCAGGAGGCAGAGGCAGGTGGATCCCTGTGAGTCTGAGGCCAGCCTGGTCAACCTTGCAAGTTCAAGGTCAGTCAGAGCTATATAGTGAGACCTTATCTCAAAAAATTAAAAAATATTATTTCTGTTAATTTAGCATAAGTTGGGAAAATATAAAAAGCTTAAAAATGAGGGCGAGAAGGCTTAAAGAACTGGTAGGCTAAAAGCTAAAAACAAAGAAACAAAAACCCACAACTGACAACTCAGAGACAAAGCAAACGCATGGTCTTCTGTTCTGCTCAAGTAAGTCTGAGCGTTCTGAAAAAGCCACATGAAAAGTGAAAAGCTAAAGCTGCTGCTTGGTGTCTGGGCTGCGATTCTGAGTGCTATGATGTAGGAACCTGAGCCACGCTGTCCCTCTCTGTTCCTTTTCTCATCTTATGTAGTCCAGGCTGGCCTGAAGCTTACGATCTTCCTGTCTCAACCTTTGGAGTGCTGAAATTACAGGCATAGGCAGACACTAAGCCCACATAACACTGTTAAATAACTTTAAATTCAGAAATTGAAAAGGGTTGACTCAGAGGTTAAGAGCACTGGCTGCTCTTCCAGAGGACCTAGGTTCAATTCTCAACACCTACCTGGTGATTCTCAACCATCTGTTCCAGAGGACCCAACATCCTCTTCTGGCCTCCACAAGCACTACATGCATGTACACATGAACATGTGTAGGCAAAACTCGTACACATAAAGTAAATAAATGTTTTTTTTTTTAAAAAAACTTAGGTCATAAGATACAAGGGACAGAAATTCTTACCAACTGACCCCAAGTCAGCTTTCCAGACATCACTTCTCTGTACAAATCCCTTTGAGTAGAGTCCAGGCATGTCCACTCTTCCCGTGAGAATTCAAAGCAACACTATTGCACATCGCTTCTGAAACAAACACAGCTCCAGCTGTAGAAATGAACAACACGGCTCCTCACTGGAGGGAACGATGAGAAAGGAGACCCCATAATGGGCACTGCCAAGCGAAAGACGGAGGCTCTGACATAGACAGCACAGAATTAAGTGATGAGGTGTAAGCAGGTTCCAGTTTTCTCCTGTGGGTGTGTTCTGCTTATAAAGCATCTCATTATACTGTAAGTCTGGAGTGAATACAGTCCATACAATGCCCCGGTTTCTTTGATGAAACAGCATATACAAATACCCTAGAAAAACACGTAAGTTGGATATCACACATTCAACAAATGCTGTTTCTCTCTGCTGTTTAGGAATAAGAAAAATGATTTTTTTTCCCTGTAAAATCTTTTTGATGTTATTTCCTGGTTTTGACAGTTTCTTATAGATACCAGGTTGGCCTTGACCTTACTATATCACCAAGGATAATCTTGGCTTGAACTCCGCATTCTGCCTCCCTCCCTTGGTATTGGGATCACAGGCACGTGCTGTCATACCCAGTTGCCAACAGCCTTAACTGTGAAAGAAACACATTCCACATCTAGACATTCTGACCCACGGCCCATGAGGACAACAGACGTTTCCTCAAGGAAGCTAGAATGTTCTATTTCTTAAGACACATGGGGAAAAAAAAAGACTGGGTAGTGGTAGTGCACTCCTTTAATCCCAGCACTCGGGAGGCAGAAGCAGGTGGATCTCTGTGAGTTTGAGGCCAGCCTGGTCTACAAGACCAAGTTCCGTAACAGGTTCCAAAGCAACACAGAGAAACTCTGTCTCGAAAAACAAACAAACAAAAAGACACAGGGGCTTGTTATGTTCACACATGTTTCTTCCCATACTTCACAGTCTTTGTTATCCCTGGCAACCTAATAAGCAAAACGCTCATAGTTTAATGATTGTATTCTATCTTTGCAAGTAGCTGTATCTAAAGAACCTTGGCAAGAGACACCCTGGGTTCTCAGAACATCTTGCGTGCTCTTTCAGTCCCTAGCCTCCCCTGCTGGAAATTCACATTCCAGACTCAGAGTCTTGTTTCATGAACTGTGACTTTCAAACTGTGGAAAGACATGGCTGGTACAACCTTATACAAGTTTTACAATACTAAAGAATCTTGAGTCCTCACAGTCACCATTATATCACTCTTAAAATCTCCTTTTCCCATCTAAAAAAATAGAAAAATAGAAATATATCATCCCAAGTATATACATTCAACCTCACAACTGAATATTGAGTTTCAAAATGATCCAGTTACCAGTATTGGTCAGTTCCACATTCCTGATCTCTCTGCAGTTAGTCCCTAGCCATTTCCTAACCTTGAGGTTTCTAAAGCTCTTTCTGCAATCCCAGGATGAGAGGCTGATGAAGACAAGATAAATTTGAGGTCAGCTGGAATTCAGAGTGAGTCTGGGAGCCATGGAAGCCAAATAAGCAAGTTCAAGACCAGCATGGGCTCCCCAGAAAGCCCTAACTCAAACAAGGAAAGCCACATACTGAGAAATTCAAAGATTTCTTTTTGTTATGTACCAACTTGCTTATCTTATAAAATCAGAGGAATCCCTATCTTATAAAAATCTGTTAGATCAGTATTCCTAGTCAAAGATGCTGTATGTGGAGCTGGATATATGACTCAGTAGTTAAGAGCACTTGCTCTTCTTGAAGAGGACCAGAGTTCCCAGCATCTATATGGTGCCTCACAACCACCCAACTTCACTTCTATTCCAATGTTCCCTAACTTCTGAGGGTACCAGGCATGCATTCATATATTCAGGCAATATATATTACAGGGAGCTTTGCAGCCTTTTAAATTAGCACACAAGGGTCAAGATTGCTGCCACACAGCAGCAGAGGCCTCCTGGCCACTGTTGTGTGTAGATAGAAATGCATCCCAGGCCGAGAGGGCAGCAAATGCAACAAGAGAGACGCAGCCAAGTCAGCCTCATTAGTGACTGAGATGAAATGAGGAGAGACTGCTGGTAAAAGCAGTTAAAGATACTACTCGAGTCCAGCCTTAATACAGAAAGAGGACAATCTACGATCCAGCCTGCAGATGGGGCCTTAGCAAGGGTCCCATATGAGAAACTAGGACCATCAGGATAGGCACCACTTGGGCTGCTGGAACTGGGGAAAACTTAAGCAATCAAAGAGTCGGTCCCAGCCTGGCTTGTGAAGCTGTGGGACACAGGGGCAGATGGCATCGGTCTGGCTGCTGTGGAGGCAGGATGACTGAGTAATGTAGCGCCCCCCCCCCCCCCGCCCCCGCCATAAGGCAAAGGCTGCAGAAGCCGCGACAGCGTGAGGGAAGTCAGAGCCATTAGGAACACCTGCTTGTCTCCGGCTGCGGTCCTCACAAACAGCAGGGTGTAGAGGCTCCGCTGCTATTGAAGGAACCTGTTTTTGAACCCCGTTCACTGGGCCAGACAGAACTGTATTCCTAGAGGAGTTACACGAAAGGTTGATCCACACCCGAGGCTGGGGTGGAGCTTTAGTGGTGCTGCTGGGCCTCTTGGCTGGACAAGATCTTGGTGCAGTAGGAAAACTTTGGCAGATCTGTGACTGCGCAGCACGGAAAGAGCCCATGAAGTGGGAGCGCAACCCAGGGGAGAGTCAAAAGGTAACGCCAAGGGGAGTGTTGTCTGTCCTCAAAGACAAACGTCGCAGAGTTGTGCCAAGCTGGAGTTCCTAAGAGAACGCTGATGGAAGCCAAACTGTATGCTGGGGAGCTTCTGAGAGAGACTCTTACCCCGGGAGCGGGTCACAGAGCTTCTGAGAGACTCTTACCCCGGGAGCGGGTCACAGAGCTTCTGAGAGACTCTCACCCCGGGAGCGGGTCACAGAGCTTCTGAGGGAGACTCTTACCCCGGGAGCGGGTCACAGAGCTTCTGAGAGAGACTCTCACCCCGGGAGCGGGTCACAGAGCTTCTGAGAGGCTCTCACCTGGGAGCGGGTCACAGAAGATGTTGGTGATGGAACTGCACAGGTGAAGCCGATCAAGGCTGTTCCAGGGAGGGTAATTATCCGCCCAGGCTAAGGAGGGCTCATTTCTCTCCAGCAAGAAGTTTTGCTAGGTGTGGAGATGGTTTGCCCATCCAGGACTCCCCTAACAGCCAGGCATGGTGATTGAGGAGGCACTAGCCACCATGCCCACCCAGAATCACTCTGACCCAGGGAGCCAGCAGGTGCAGCAGGGGAGAGCAGGGCCGTGTTCACCTTTGGCCGTGAGTAGCAATGAGCAGATTAAATTGGGTCATCATTAAATCATGAGTTTAGCAGGCGTGGAGAAACATAGGGAGGCTCCCGGATATGGAAACACAGTGGCTCAGAGAGAAGGGCTGAGGATTACAGAGAGCTAATTAAGTTAGCGTCTCCTGCCCATGCCTTGTAATCCCAGCTTCATCTGTAAAAGGATGGAGCCTTTTTTTCATGCTGTACTAGGCCTTGCTATGTCTGACCTTAGTATCTTCTTAGTTGTACACATGGAACATATTCATTCAAGTACAAAACCACAAAACTTTATTTACTAGATAAACAGATAAAAGCAAACAAAACTGAAGACAAAGATAGGGCAGCACATTCATGAAGGCTGGGGCAAGAGTTTGACCTGGTCTGCGCTGTACAACAAGATTGTGTTGATAAAAACATAAATTTAAAAAGCTAAAACCCCTCAAACGTTAAGAAAGATAAACAATACAAGAATGCTCTTACATTCCATGAGCATCAAATCCATTCTTTATAAATTTAACCACTACTGGAAAACACCTATTACAACTATACATTTTTATTAATCTCAAACTATAGAAATCAATAGCCATTGGCTTAGCGCATGTCTTTAATCCCAGAACTTGGAAGAGAAAGATGGGTCTTTATGGGGCTGGGGAGATAGCTCAACAGTTAAGAGCACTCGCTGCTCTTCCAGTGGTTCTGAGTTCAATTCCCAGCACCCACATGGTAGCTCACAACTGTCTGTAATTCCAGTTCCAGGGGACATGATACCCATGACAAAACACCAATGCATATAAAATAAAAATATATAAAGTTTTTAAAAACAGAACTACAATTTCTCTCTCTGTTTTAAAGTCGGGTCTCTATGATTTCGTGGCCAGTCTGGTCTATATAAAGAAGTTCAAACCGGACAGTGAGGCCCTGCCTCAAAAATAATAAATAAACAAACAAATAAATAAATTGCCTTGTTCTCATTATAAGAGAAGACATAGGTAGAGATATTTATAAAAACAACAATGAAGCGAAGATCATGTCTTGACACAATAAAGGCAGCTGAAGAAACAAGTATCTCCTTACCTCAAACTTCTCTTCTAAACATACAACGGCCATCTTTTCTCTTCTGTGTTGTACCCTAAGAGAAAGAGTAAACCGAGATGCCATGTCATTCTTGTCATAGTCTAAATTACACCCTCTCCCTCCAACCCCACAATCCATCCCTCATCTAATACAAAGTCTGGAGACTAGTATTGGATACGGACAAGGTCAAGCTGTTTCAGGCCTGATTTATGTCGACTTAAAGCTGCCCACTAGAGGGCAGTGTCATGGGCTCTAGCCTCCACAGCAATTATTTCCCACTCCTGAAACCCGTTCCTAGCATCCTGTCTTGGGGTGCTAGCGAATCTCGAAGTATCATCTAAATACTAGGCTTATAGCTTCACTCGGAGTCTTAATTCTCTAGTTTTCTGTTTGCCAATTTCCTTGGCTATAAGATCAAGGAGCACTGGGAACCAGCAACAAAACTATTTCCCAGGCGGGATGAGGAGGGATGGCAGAGCTGAATCGATCCTGGCCATGTCTGAATGGATGAGTAACCACTGTGGCCAAACAGAGGCTAAGTCCTTAAATTCTGGGAGGGATTTGGGGAGAGACACAAAGTCACGAGAAATTCAGGATCCTTCGAAAGATTCAGCCCCCAAATGAATGCCAAACAAAATTTTACCGCTGTACCCTACCGAACTAGGGTAAGATCATAGGTACAAAACATACTAAAGACCACACAAAGTCACATGGAATCAAATCTCCACAGCCACATAGCTAGAGCCACAATTTCATGGTTTAGTGCTACACTGAGCACTTAAACAGGATCCAAGCGTGCACAAAAAACAAACAAACTGCAGCGGACAGCGACACTCTTTTACAAGGGTGTAATTCTACTTTATTGACGTTCATGAAAACAGCATATACAATCTCTCTCTCTCTCTCTCTCTCTCTCTCTCTCTCTCTCTCTCACACACACACACACACACACACACACACACACACACACACACGTCAGACAACCACCCAGATGAGAAAACCACGAAAGTCACAGGCCACGGAAACCAGCGACTACCATCTCAGCGCCACTGCCATCACACCCGTTTACACAGCCAAACCAGTTATGCACAGGATACCAGGCACGTCTAACAACCTCCAAGTGACACACACACACCCTACCACCTGGTTACAACAACACCCTTCCTCTCCTCCGCGATACACGTGGGGCTGTCACAACCACTGTCAAGAAACATCTCCAGTCAGGCAAGCACACAATCACACACATCACATCAACCACAAACCAGGGTCGCAACAGGCTCCCAAAGCTGGCAGGCTTGCAGCACACCCAGCGGAGACGCGGCCACCTAAGTCACAGATTCAGGCGTTCCTGATACTCCCACCTCCACGGGAGTGCATCTCAGGGTTCAGCCTGCAGTGCCTGACTTCGGGACCACGGGCTCCGCGGGATGCCTAACGAACTCGTCCACAGACACTGCCCTCCCGCGACCTAAGTGCCCCGAACTCTCGCGAGGAAACGAAACCGAAGCGGCGTTCCGGACGCGAGGAGTCTGGGAAATGTAGGCCCGCGTCAGAAAGGTAACGGCAAAATCGGCTAGCTATTCTATACCTCTGTGACATGAACTGTACTGGTGGCAATGCGATTTTATACCTCTGTGGGATTGCTCGACACAGACTTCAGCCATAGCGAGTTGCTAGTGAAGGGTCACTACGTACTTCTGGTATAATTCACTAGTTGGCCATGATGATTTTTATTATATAAATATGCTTTTCTTCTGTTAGTATCTCATACCGAGTCCAGGGGTTCCATTAGCGTATGACTGTGCGATCGTGTTGCCTGTGAAAAAATGATGGTCGAGTTATTTCTTCCTTGAATACTTACTGGATGATCAGGAAAATGTAAGCACTTTATCTGAAAAGGAACTTAGGCGTGACATTTTCTATTAGAGTTATACTATGGGGAACAATGAAAAATTGATAGTCTTTATTTTTATGAAAAATTATTTTGAACCTTTTACATAAAAATGAAGCTTGGAAGATAATTTTGATGTCTAATGTTAACCATTTATTTTGTTAGACACAGTTTAAAAATATACATTACAAACATTTTAAGTACTCTAATCATTCCCATATAACCATGTATATGCCAGAGATATATACACATATATACATATATCCCTTAAAAATATGGAAGACTAATATGCTGGTTTGAACGAAAATGGCCTCCACAAGCTCACATATTTGGAATTTGGTTGGTAAGAGGTAGGAGAGATGGCTCAGCAGTTAAGAGCACTGCCTGCTCTCCAAAAGTCCTCAGTTCAATTCCCAGCAACCACATGGTAACTCACACCATCTGTAATGAGATCTGGTGTTGTCCTCATCAACGTAGACCATGAGACCCAATATGGACAAGATCAACAGAACCGCCACATACGGGCTGCCCATGCCTGCTTCAGCATTGCCAGGGCACACATTTAAATCATTCATTTATTCATTTCCTAGCTGGTAAGCAGTTTAGGAAAGGTTAGGAGGTGTGGCCTTGTTGGAGGAGGTGTGTCACTGTGGGTGGCCTTGGAGGTATCTAAAGCCCAAGCCAGGCCTAGTCTCTAACTTTTGGGTCCGAAGTGAGCTCTTAGCGACTGCTCTAGTAACATGCCTGCCTGCCAGATGTCACACTCTCCACCATGATGAAACTGCAGACAAGCCCCCAATTAAGAGTAGCTTTCAACAGGAGGTGGAGACAGGTGGATCTCTGAGTATGAGTTCCAGACCAGCCAGGGGTGCACAGAAAGACCCTGTCTCAAAAATAAAAAGTAATTCCCCCCTTTGGTCAAGTCGTCTCTTCACAGCAATAGGAAAGTAGCTAAAACAAATACATTGGCTATACTGGGAGGAGCTGATAGCAGGGATGATGGTCAGACAAGCCCAGCTTTATCTGTAGACCTTTTACAAGCAGAAGAGATGTACACATTGTCTTGGAAATGAAAAATAAATAATGTGGACACATTCAAGTCCTCATGGAACCTACATCCAGCAACAGCAAGCAGGCAAAGAGAGAGCCCTCCGTCTTCCATGCCCTTATAAAGGCTGCCAGCAGAAGGTGTGGCACAGATTAAACATGAATCTTGCACCTCAAAAGAGTTGGATTAAAAGTGGGTCTTCCCACTTCAAATGATCCGATTAAGAAAAAGGTCCTATCCAGGTGCACCCAGAAGTGCGGGTTATAGAGAATTCCAGATATAGTCAACTTGACAGTCAGCAGCATGGGTTATAGAGAATTCCAGATATAGTCAACTTGACAGTCAAGGAGACCCATCACAAGTCCTCATCTTGCCATCTTGATACACAATCATATCACCTTATATCATGCTTAATTTCTGAGTGACAATGATAACCAGTTCATAATTATTGCTCACATGATATAATCATCCCACACACAAATCGCAAATGCATTATACATTTGACCAGGCCACAATACACCTAATGGGATATAACTCTCCCTCATACAGATGCAAATGCATTATAAATTTAAAATAGTTGGTAATATCCCTTGGGGAACACTCGTTCAACATCTTAGACTTAAATATGATAACCATTGATTTTCTCTTAATTGTAGTTACAGCACCTGATAAAGAGATTGAAGAAAGAAAACAAATATCTGTACAAATGCATTCTTAACAAAATACAACAGAAGCACACCAATTAGGATCTCTTTTTTGCAACTGGCCATGTGGCTTTAGCTGGTATGTATAACTACCTTTCTCTACTACCCATTCTGTATTTCCTAGTTCCGCCCCCCTGGGCAAGAACCACAGCAGGTCTTTGCTCTTTTCCTGGAGCAGTGACTCATCCATCCCTTCATTCCTGATGTGTCTGTGCCCTAATCCTGTGAATCCTGTGTGGAGTAGGCTGTTACAGTTTCCCACTGACTTTAATGGCGGGACATGGTGGCAGCAAGAGACGCCCTAAAGGATCTCCTGCCCTCCACACGCGATCATTCGTACCTCCATGTGGGGAAGCAATCCAGTCTTCCCTTGGTAATCGGGATCATTCTCCCCTCCTGACAGTGTTATTCCTTTCTTAGCCTGTTGACTTCAGGGCAGCAGAAGCCCAAGGTGGCCAAAGGGAAGCCTGAATTCCCAGCTCCGTGGCATGTTTGCTGTGGCTCCAGACAGTTCTCCCCCACCTGGGACCCAGACTTCCAGGCCAGCAGAACATAAGGGCACAGGAACAAGAAGTAAAAATTTGCCTAGTGGATCCCTAGGGGTGATAGTGATTGGAATTAGTCCTTCTCCACCTCTTGATTCCTGGACCCATGGGTTCTGGCAATAGGAGAAACAGTACCTTATATTGAACCCTGATTCAAAGCATATACTGTCTTCTGGAGTGTCTGGGACCAGCCAGGACATAAACTATTTCTCGCGCCAGAGTGAAGGTGTGGGAATAAATGAGGTACAGTTCACACGACAATATCAGGAGTCTCAGGGTTCATTCAAATCCTGAAGATCACCTGAGTTTATTAGCCAAATGGCTTTTATATCAAAACAATAACCGAGGGAGGGGGTCGTTAGCATTCTGCTTCCTGGGTAGGGTTGGAGGGGACGGGGAGACTGAGGTCATGTTCGTAACTATTGTCTGTTTTGTCACGCCCATACCCATGTTGTCTGTGAATTCCGTGACGCTGACTCAGAGCCTGACTTTCCACTCCTACAGCTTCTCACCCCGTGAATGTCCTGGCAGTAGTAAGTCCTCATCTGGACCTCAAGGTTTCCCAGCATTCCTGCGTTCATATGGTTTCTCACCACCATTAGTTCCTTGATAGCGGTAAAGTTCGAGCCCACGTGAAAGACCTTCCCACAGTTCTTGCATTCATAAGTGTTCACATCAGTGTGAACTCTTTGATGGTCACAGGTCTGCTGCTGTGGGATATTATTATTTTAAGTAGGCAGAGCTGTGTTGCATTTGTTTATGCTGCGTTTGTTTAATGATGTAAAGATGTGTTGCTTTGCTGGCCTAAGCACCTGATTGGTGTAACTAAAAGCTGATTGGCCAACAGCTAGGCAGAAGAGGGATAGGTGGGACCAGTAGGCAGTGAGTGTAAGTAAGAAGAGGAATCTAGGCTCTAGAGGGAGAAGAGAACGAGAGAGAAAGAGAAGGAGATGCCCGGGGACAGCCCAGCACCCACGTGGCAGCTCACAACTGTTTGTAACTTCAGTTCCAGAGAATCTGGCAACCTCACACAGACATGCATGCAGGCAAAACATCAATGAACACAGATAGATAGATAGATAGATAGATAGATAGATAGATAGATAGATTAATTAATCTGGTCAGCATGGATGAATATAGCTTTATTATAGTAAATATATAAGACAGAATTATCCCAAGTTATAAAGTTCATAAATGACAATAATCTCAGAATAACATGCACACGAAATACTTAAATGCTTTAAATATGTACATTTACTCACCATTGCTGAACATAGAATACTAAAAGGTACCGAGAACTGAATCTGCACGATACTCAGCACTGACCTAAACATACGTTTGCATCACCCAGAACTGTCATTCACCCACAAAACACACCTGAAAAGGAGCTGGCATCACTCTTCCCTTTAAATGTCCAGTTCACCTCTCTTGAGATTCTTCATTTCCTTTACAACTGAAACTTTTCAAATGCAAGAATTATGCTAAGAGTCCCACACGGTTCCCTTTTCTTCCATGGTATATATACATATACATGTTATATATGTAAAATATATTATGTATCTCCTATAACCTTAGTCAATCATGGTTTTCTTTTTCCTTTGAGACAGTCTCATGAATTCCTGGCTGGCCTTGAATTAACTATGTGGTCCCAGCAAGACCCTGAACTTTTGATCCTCTATCTCCACCTTCTGAGTATTAGCATTTCAGGCACGGACTGCGATACCTGATTGTGCAGAACTGGAAACCAAACCCAGGGCTTCATGCACGCTAGGCAAACACCCTACCAACCGATCTACATCTCCAGGCCCTCACAGGACTTTTTAAATGAAATTCTGATGTTTTAAAAATTCTTTTGGACTTTGCATGTTGTGTTAAAAAAAAAAAAACAAACACTTTTAAGTTTTCCTAGAAAATGTGCTCCACATATAAAAATCATGTCTCCAATATTTTACACATTTACATTTCTTTGCAAATACTCTAAAATAGAGCTATAGCCACGTCTCTTGTAAGGCGTCCTTACAGTACATAAAAAACCCACCAGTAAAGTCTTTCCTAAATTAACATAGACTATATCATGACCCTGGATGACAGGCATATTATTTTGCCCAGAGGTCTTCTGGTATTACACTTAGGGATTTTTGAAAAGAAATTATCGTAATGAGTAGAAATAAATCAGCTTTTCTTGCTTCTGTGTCACACGCTGTCACAGCAGTGAAGAGTACGCCCTGGGAAAATGCGGTCTTCATAAGTTCCCTCACCAGGAAGGGCTGGGAAACAAGAGCA